CTCCAGGAAGCTCACCCTGCCTCCCACACCCCTGATGAGGTGTCTGCCTCTCCAAATCCTAGCTTCCCCTGAAGTCCTCATCACCCGGAGTTGCCGTCTCCTGGTTATGTAGCTGTGTCTCCCACCAGGCCCCTCCAAGACCTCCTGAGGGCAGAGATGGCCTCTCGCCGGTTGCATGCTGTGTTCCCAGCACCTAGAATGGTAAATATCAAATAGAGCAGAAAATATTTCATAAATACACAGTCGTCCCTTGGTATCCACAGGGATCTATCCCCCGCGGATACCAAAACTCACAGAGGCTCAAGTCCCTTACAGAAAATGACGTAGTGTCTGCACGTAACCTGCACACATCCTCCTGTGTATGTTAAATCATCTCTTGATCACTCATAATCACTAGTACAATGAAAATGCTGTGTAAATAGCTGCTGCACTGTATTGCTTAGAGTTGGGGAATTTTCTTCGAATATTTTCCATCCACAGTGGTTGAATCTGTGGACATAGAACCTGAGGATTGGGGGCCGACTGTGCACATTGAAGAAAATAATGGATGATCCATGCACCCTACGGTGAGACCCTGCAGTGCAGGCAGGGAGCAGGGGAGGCACCATCTGAGCTGAACTTCGAAGCATGAACAACAGTCCCTGGCACACAGACAGGGAGGGAATCGCAGGCAGAGGCACCGGCATGAGCAGAGGTGTGAGGAAGAGCCTGGGACGGGGTTAGGACAGGCTGGGAGGTCAGAACAGGGCCAAAATGTGAAGGGAACGGCAGGCACCTTAGAACCATCTTTCTAGCCCGGGGGGAGAGTGGGCTGGAAGGAGAACCAGGAGGGGCCAGGGCAGCTGGCTTGGCCACGGCAATGCCAGCCTGGGCTGAGGTTCCAGCCAAGACTTTCCTCTGAGCTCTACCCTACCGGGACAGCAGAAGACCCAGAATGTGGGGGAAATCTTGGTGGGATTTCCTTGGCACAACTCTAATTGTCAGATGGACAGAGGTTCAACCAAGAAAAGCACCCTGGACTAAGGAGGAAGATCTTTTGTTGCTGTTTCTGCATGCCCAGAGCAGTCAGGAACCAAGGGTAGGGTCACAGAAGGGAGTTGGTGCTAAGCCAGGGGATGGGGTGGAGGAGACCAAGGTCACAAGGTCACAGTGCAGCTGCATCTTGCAGCCTCACCTGGAGGGTCCTGTGCCCTTGGACGAGTGACATGGCCTCTCTGGGCCTCGTTTTCTCCTTTGTAAAATGGGGCTGAATTACACAGATCAGAGACACGATGCGTGCAAAGACCTGGCACAGAGTAGCTGCTTGGTCGAGACGGACCCCCTCCCCCAGCCCCGTTTCAAATGTTTTCTCAACTATGGACGTTATTCCTACATTCGTCTCACAGATAATTGCTGAGCACCTACTACGTGAGGAGCCCTGTGTGGCCAGGGGAGAAACAATGAGAACAACCAGAGTCTCTTTGAACCACAGCCTTGTAGCTCTGCTTGTAGCTTTTTTCCAGGCAGAATCCATGAATTTCTGGGTATCTCCATTGGGTTTAACCCAGGGGATGATCAGCGAATATCAGCTCAAGTCGTTTCACTCCCCACACCTTCCTCAGCCCCTGCTTGTGCCAGAACCTGTGCTCCCAGCTGCAGATGAAGAGACGGGTCAGACCCCATCCCTCCGTCAAGGAAAGTGCTCTGCACCCACTTCCCACCACCACCCCGCGCCCTCGACTTGGGGAGTGTGGGCAACTTCCCACGTGTCTTCAGTCTGATCCCAAATGTATGAATCTGGCAGATACTCCTCAGTCTCATGGTAAATTTCTTGTCAATGGATTTCCTTTTTGGATCTTTTTAAGCTAAAGGGGCTGTACCCTTCCCAGGAGTCTGTCGCGTCTTCCCTGCATTTATCCTCCAGTATCTGAACGCTGTGTGCACTAGTCTGTCTCCCTCCTTTGTCCAGGAGCTCTTAGAAGTGAAATTCTGGTCCCTGTCATCTCCTGTCTCCAGCAAAAACTAGCTATATCATAAAATATAAATATTTATAAGATAAAATTCCCACTAAGAATTGGGCAGTGAATCAAGTTGAAGGGTTCCATAAATCTTTGGTCAACGTTTTGCTCAAGAGGTCCCCTCTTTACTGAGATAAGCGGCTGTCTGATGGGAAGTACAGGAAGGAAACCCCATGCTTGATCTGCTCTTTGGCAAGTGGGTAAAGTCAGAACTGGCCACACTAGCTGGTCAGTTTGATAAGCGTGACCAGCCTCAGCACTGAAGACCGTGCATGAGATAACTCTTCCTTCCAGCTCGGAGGAAGTCCAGCCCCAGCGACCATCACTCGACAGACGTGTCAGGAACATCAGAGTCCATCTCTGGGGAGACCACAGTGACCAGGACTGACGTGAACCTGCCCTCTGGTCACTGCCGTGAGGGGAGAAGGCAGGTGATGAAGAACTGAACTAGCTGAGGGGGGAGGAGTGAGGACGGAAAGGCCGTTGGCTGTGAGAGCCCGACAGCCCAACCCACAGCGAGTAGGGCAGGCTGGCAGTTCACAGAGAAGGTGGCACTTCAGCTGAGGCTTTCTGCTCCAGGGGCAGAGGGAGAGGAGAGGGTGCACCAGGCAGAAGGGGCAGCATGGGTAAGAGACCTGGGTGGGAAGATGATTGCCCATTCAAGGAACAGAAAACAGTCACTATGACAGGCACTTGGGCAGCAAGGAGGGGAGTAGCTTAAAATGGCCTTAAATAATAGGGAAGGATCAGATTTCAAAGGACATTGCCCCAGAATCCCAAGGAGCATGTGATGACGCTCATTTACACAGAGGACAATGGTTATGACACACACACAAGGGCAGGGGGTTTCCTGTGACGTCGACCACAGCTGAAAAGTGAATTTCAGGCACGTTAGGGAGTAGCCCTGGACATTTCAGAAGGATTTTGCAGCTCACAGACTTTCCCTGGGGAAACGAGAGAGTCATTCGTCTGTTTCCTCAGCAAGTATTTATTGAGCCCCTCTAGATGCCAGGAAACACAATGGTGAGCAGGTCCAGCTGGCCTACCCCCTGGGCTGTCAGCCTAGTTGGGGAGGAGGGAGTGCTGAACAAGAAATTTCCATAAGGCAGCGCAGGGAGCATTATGGGGAAGCAGACGCATGGGCCAGAATCCTCCACCTCTTTGCCCGCAGGCGGCACGGAGCGCACAGCGGCCGTGCTCCGTGCCAGGTGTGCTGCATGCTGTGCGCTCCCCTGCCCAGGGCACCACAGTGCCTCTGCAGCAGCTGGCTATTTGGAGCTCTGGGAATCTTGTGGCTTGGGAGAAGAGAACGCCACCTCCAGTTCCCACTTAGCTCTCTGGATGCTGATCAGATGCCCAAGTTTGGGCTTGAGCCTAAGCGGGAAACCTCTCTGGGACCAGCCTCTAGAGGGGGTGACCCTGAGGCTCTCCCTGCACCTCAGCCCAGAGGTGTCATCAGACCCCATCTGCCTGCTGCTCTGTGGCTGAGCCTTAGGGCTCTTTAATTGCACTAATGAAGTGGAGGAGGGGAACTGTGAGTCAACTTTTGATGAGGTCCCAGCTGTCCCTGAAAATCCTGAAAATCCCGAGTCTTGTTCTGTAGTGAAACTCGGCACTGGCTTCTAGGGGTTATCATGCCAACGGAGTTAGGAAGATTGCACAGGGTGGGTATCCCCTGGGCCCTTTACTGACAGTCAGGACTATAACACCTTTAACCAATCTGTGTTCTCAGGCAGGGATGCCTGGGGCCTGACTGATGGGCGCTGAGAGCGCTGGGGTGGGGCTGGAGGGGGCGGGTTCAGACAAATTCCTCTCATTGCCTGCTAAGGAGACCCCATGACAACACGGCAGTTGAATTCTCTGGAGACTTGCTGTTTTCTTTTCTTTTTTTTTTAATTTCTTGATTTCATTTATTGCACAGGCTCTGGGAATTCAAGCACAGAGCAAACAAGATGAGGTCCCCTGCCCTCTGGGTGTTTGTCTCACAGTGCAGACAAAATAATTCACAGGAATATGAGTAAATGGATCCAAGAGTTACACATTTGTTTTAGGGTTTTACAGGAAATGAAAAGCGTGCTGTGATTTTTAAAATAGTGTGTTCTAGGCAGCAGACGGAATGCCTCCCACGTGTGTGAGACTGTCGCCCTCCACAGCTGGGGGAGTGATCGTTAGAGACGTAGAGGCTCCACAAGCAGAGGAGTTGTCTCAGGATCAGAGGCGTCCAAAGAGGAAGTGAGCCCCAGGGAGGACGGGAGGCTCAGACAGAGGCTGTCACACCACGGGAGAGGGAGGCCACCCCCATGGGATGTGGAGGGGTGACAGACTCCCAAGCTCCTTTCTGACTTGGTGGGGACTGTTTCCCTTGTCAGGGACAGAAGTGTAAATTTTGGGCAAAAACTAGGAATTTACTGGCTCCTGTTCTAGGACATGCAGGGACTGGGGTGATGAGGAGTTTAGGCTGGTTACTTTTAAAACTGCAGATGAGAAGTGGACTCTGAGGAGGGGAATTTGCTTGCCCTTTGATGAGAGACATTTGCATCTGTGAAGGAAGTCTCTGTGTGGGGGGGTGTGTGTCTCTCTCTGCACCAGGAGGAAGGCGGGATGGCCTTATCTCTGGAAACTCTTAATGGGGACAGCAAGGACTTAAGTTGTTTACTGTCTGGTAGCCTCATGTAACTGACCCCCCCCCCCCCAACATCCTCCTTTGTCTTTAGCTATAGATAATATTTAAGCGGTGGCTTCTGCCATTTACTTAATCCAGTTTGATTCTTATCTAATAGTTATAGGACCACCCAATAACGAGACCCTACCAGCGCTGATACCATTTTAACAACTTTTTTTTACATATTCTTTCCTTTGTCTTGTAAAGAGATAACTCACATACCTATGCCTTAAATTTAGCCTTACTCTCCACCCATGTTTGCAGCAGCAGCTCTGACTGCCCATGGGTCCTGTCCCCATGCTGTTCCATACTATTCTCTAAATAGAAGAGCACTACTGCCAGACCTTGAGACCCCAAGAAACCTTTCTTTCTACTCCTCGGCTCACCTGCCCCACATCATGGGGAGGCGACCTCAGGATTCGAATCACGTCCTCAAGTCTCTCGCCCCGAAATTTCCAAATGTTTGGTGTAGTTTGATGTCATTCTCTCTTTGTGCAGACAAGTCTCGTCCCAATGTCTCCAGATGGTTGGCCCCACAGAGGAAAAGGCAGCTTCTCTCTCCCACCATCCACACGCTTTAGATTTATGGCAAAAACGGGCAATTACTGCTCCTGCCCAGAGAGGAAAAGCCGCACCTAAATCGTTGAGGGTTGAGTAGTAGGTGTGAGCGAGCAGCGTACCAGACCTAGGAGGCTTGTCGAACCAATAAGCAGAGGAAGTGACCAAAGTATCACGGACCAGGTCATCCTTTAGTATTGTGAGTGCATATTTCTTGTTTCAGTGTATGTCGATTTAATCATCCTTGGATAGAAATTAAACAGTTGTTGACTAGTAACCAGAAATGCGAAGAAGACAGTAATTCAAATACTGTAGACAGCTGCGGGGAAAGCGGCAAGGACTGTAAGTGACAGGCTCCGGCATCGGTGGGAGACACGTCAGTGCTTTCAGGGGTTAAGTCTTCGGAACGAAGCCTGTAAGGACAGGTAACCCCGTGAGCGCGAGGCCTCCAACAATAACGATTTAAACGCTCCAATCAGAAGACAGACGTTGGCAGAATGGGGAAAGTGATTCAACGGTATACTGCTCCCCAGAGCCCTAGTTTAGGAGTGAGGAGAGCGTCAAGGTGGAGGCAGCTGTCGCCCGTCCCTCCCCTCAAAGAGACAAGTAAACAGACGCCCGTGGAGCAGCAGGCGTCCGACACCGCGCGGGGGACGCCGACGGACCCCGCAGGTGCACCTCCGAGGGCGGCGCGCGGGCGGGCGGGCGGGAGCCAGGGAGCCGGCCCTCCTGCAGCAGCGCGGGGCGCGGACCCGCGCAGGGCGGGCGGGCGGGGCTCGGGGGGCGGGGCGGCCGCGGGAGCGCCCACTGGCGGCTGCCCTGCCGCGGGACCGCGCCCCGCCCAGCGCGACCAGGAGAGGCGGCGGCCCGGCGGCGACGCGACCCTTGCGGCTGTGGCCCGGCCTGGAACGCCCAGCGGCCTGACCCCGCGCGCCAACAGGAGCAGGAGGGGCGGGAACTGGAGAAACAGACCCCTCGCCGCCCCCAGCGGTGGAAGGCGGCATCCGCACCCAGGAGCAACAGGGACTTCAGCACAGCTGGGAACCCAGCCCCCAGTGGTGGCAACCCCACACCAGCTCCACCAGCAGCAGGGGCTGTAAGTCCGCCGTCTCCGCTGACAGTGACAGTGACACCTGTGTACCAGCTCCGCTGGCAGCGGCGCAGCCAGCACCCCAGGACATCCCGGGAGCAGCAGTGCAGGTGGTGCCGGGCCAGCAGCTCCCGAGCCTGCGGAGAGCCACTGGAGGAGCCCGAGACCCAGCTGAGCAGAACCGAGTAACCAGAGACAGGAGCAGCCCAAGGGCCTTCAATGATGAAGGGATAAAGATGCGGTGTATGTATACAATGGAATAGTACTCAGCCATAAAAAAGACGAAATCCTGCCATTTGCAACCACGTGGACGGACCTTGAGGGTATTATGTTAAGCAAAATAAGCCAGACAGAGACAAACACCATATGATTTCACTCATGTGTGGAAGATGAACAAAGAGACACATAGATAAAGAGAACAGATTAGTGGTCACCAGAGGAGAAGGGGGGTGGGGTGAGAGGGGTAAAGGGGCGCACATGTATGGTGACTGATAAAAGCTAGACTAGTGGTGGACATGATGCCGTCTACACAGACACTGATGTGTAACAATGTGCACCTGAAATTTACACTATGTTATAAGCCAATATGACCTCAATTATAAATAAATGAAAGACCGACTTCAGAATCAAAGACACAAATAGGTCGAAAGTGAAAGGATCGAAAAAGATGTTCCAAGCAAATAGTAACCCAAGGCAGCAGGGTCGCTTAGGCTCATGTTATGACAAAATAGACTTGATCTTTCTTCTGGACTGACCTGTGATTGACACATAACATTGAGTAAGCTTAAGGTATACGATGTGATGATTTTAGACATGCAAAGTGATCACCACAATGAAGTTAGTTAGCACTCCCTTTACCCCGCAGAATTACCATTTGTTGTTATGGGGAGAACATTTGAGATCTACTCTCTCATCCACTTTCAAGTATTCAATACAGTATTGTCGGCTGTAATCACCATGCTGTACAGTAGATCCCAGAAGTGATTCCTCTTCTAACTGGCAGTTTGTAACCTTTGACCAACATCTCCTCATTTCCCGCACCCCCCAGCCCCTGGAAACCACAAATCTACCCTTTGCATGATTTTGGCTTTTTTAGATTCCACATGTAAGTGATATCATACAGTGTTAGTCTTTCTCTGTCTGACTTATCTCACTTAGTACAATGCCCTGAAGGTCCATCTATGTTGTCACAAAGGCAGAATGTCCTTCTTTTTGTGGGTGAATAATATTCCATGGAGTGTATACATCAAATTTTCTCTATCCATTCATCCGTTGATGGACGTTTAGGTTGTTTCGGTGTCTTGGCTACTGTGAACAATGCTGCAATGAACATGGGGGTGCAGACATCTCTGTGAGATAGTGATTTCCATTCCTTTGGATAAATACCCAGAAGTGACATGGCTAGGTCACATGATAGTTCTGTTTTTTTCTTTTGGGGAAACTCCATACTGTTTTCCGAAGTGTCTGTACCATTTACATTCCCACCAACAAGACACAAAGGTTCCTTTTTCTCCACATTTTTGGGAGCAATTGTTATCTCTTGTCTTTTTAATGACAGCCATTCTAACAGCTGTGAGGTGATATCTCAGTGGGGCTTTGGTTTGCATTTCCCTGATTATTAGTGATGTTGAGGATCTTTTCATGAACCTATTGACCAATTCAGTATCTTCTTTGAAAAAATGTCTACTCAGGTCCTTTGCCCATTTTGTAATCAGATTATTTGATTTTCTATTGATTTGTCTAGGTTCCTTACATATTTTGGATATTAATCCCTTATCAACATATGGTTTGCAAATATTTCCCCCCATTCATAGGTTGTCTTTTCACTTTGTCAGTTGTTTCTTTTGCTTTACAGAAGCAAAAGAATGTTGTCACACTTGTTAATTTTTGTTTTTGCTACCTGTGCTTTTGGTCTCATATCCAAAGAAATCATTGCCAAGATCAGATCAAGGAACTTTGTCTCTATGTTTTCTTCTAGGAGTTTTATGGTTTCAGGTCTTAATTTAAGTCTGTAATCCACTTCAAGTTAATTTTTGTGACTGGTGTAAGATAGGGGTCTAATTTCATTCTTTTCCATGTTAATAGCCAGTTTTCACGCCACCATTTTTTTGGAGAGACAGTCCTTTCTCCGTTGAGTATTCTTGTCTCCCTTGGCAAATATTAGTTGAGTGTATGTGTGTGGGTTTATTTCTGGGTTCTTGAGTCTCTTACGTTGGTCTATGTGTCTGCTTTTATGTGAGTACCAGACTGCTTTGATTACTATCGCTTTGTATTTTAGTTTGAAATCGGGACGTGTGATGCCTCTGGCTGTGTGCTTTCTTGGGATTGCTTTGGCTGTTTGGTTCTTTCATGGTTCCGTATGAATATTAGGATTGTTTTTCTATTTCCAAAACACCATAGGAATTTTGCTGGGGATTGCATTGACTCCATAGGTGACTTTGGGTAATATGGACATTTTAACAGCATTAATTCTTCCAATCCATGAACATGGAAACTTTCCATTTGTTTGTGTCTGCTTCAATTTCTTTCATCAATAACACAGAGTTTTCAGTGTACAGATCTTTCACTTACTTGGTTGAATTTATTTCTAAGGATTTTATTGTTTTTGGTGCTATCGTGACTGGGAATGTTTTCTTTTTTTCTTTTTCAGATGCTTAATTGTTAGAGTATAGAAAAGGAACTGATTTTTTTGAATGATTTTGTATCCTGGAACTGATCTGACTCTGTTTATTAGTTCTAACAGTTCTCTGGTGGAGAACTTAGGCATTTCTATCTATAAGATCAAATCACCTGCAAACAGAGACCATTTTACTTCTTCCTTTCTGATTTAATGCCTTTTACTACTTTTTCTTGCCTAATTTCTCTGGCTGGGACTTCCAGTACTATGTGGAATAGAAGTGGTGAGAGTGGGCATCCTTGTCTTGTTCCTGATCTTAAAGGAAAATCTTTCAGCCTTTCACCATTGAGTGTGATGTTAGCTGTGGGCTTGTTAGATATGTTCCTTCTATGTCCAATTTGCTGAGAATTTTTATCCTGAAAGGATACTGAATTTTGTCAAGTGCTTTTTGTGCATCTTTTGCGATGACTGTATGATTTTATCCTTCCTTCTATTAATGTTGTGTATCATATTTATTGGTTTTCATATGCAGAACCATCTTAGCTTGACAGGAATAAACCCTACTCGAACGTGGTGTATGATCCTTTTAGTGTACTTTTACATTTGCTTTCCTATATTTTTTGAGAATTTTTCCATCTATATTCATCAAGGATATTGAGCTGTACTTTTCTTTTCTTGTGATGTCATTATCTGACTTTGGTATCAGGATAATTCTGGCCTTATAAAATCAGTTTGGGAGTATTCCCTCCTCTTCAATATTTTGCAAGAGTTTGAGAAACATTGGCATTAATTCTTTAAATGTTTGGTAGAATTCGCCCAGGAAACCTTCTGATTCTGGGCTTTCTTCATTGTGAGGGTTTTGTTTGTTTGGTTTGGGGTTTTTTGGATAGTGTGGAGTGATCCCTGGCCTGTTTTTTTTTCTTCTCAGTGTGCTTTTTTTTTGGTGAGGAAGATTAGCCCTGAGCTAAGATCTGTTGCCAATCTCCCTCTTTTTTTTCTCCCCAAAGCCCCAGTACATAGTTGTATATCCTAGTTGTATATCCTTGTAGCTCTTCTATGTGGGTCACCACCTCAGCATGGCTTGACGAGCAGTGCTAGGTCCACACCCAGGATCCAAACCAGCGAACCCTGGGCTACCGAAGCAGAGCACACAAACCTAACACTATGTCACTTGGCCGGGCCACATTGTGAGGCTTTTGATTACTGGTTCAATTTTCATACTTGTTATTGGTCTGTTCAGATTTTCTATTTCTTCATGACTCAGTCTTGGTAAATTTTACGTTTCTAGGAATTAGTGATTTCTGTTAAGTTGTCCAATATGTTGACGTATAATTATTCATAGTAGTCTCTTATGATCCTTTCTATTTCTGTGGTATTAGTTCTAGTGTCTCCTCTTTCACTTCTGATTTTATTTATTTGAGTTTTCTCTCTTTTTTTCCTAGTAAGTTTTGTCAATTTTGTTTATCTTTTCAAAAGGCCAACTCTTAATTTTGTTGATCTTTTCTATTGTTTTTTTAGTCTATATTTCAATTATTTCTGCTTTGATCTTTTTTATTTCCTTCCTTCTACTAACTTTGGGCTTTGTTTGTTCTTGTTTTTCTAATTCCTTGAGATGTAAAGCTAGGTTGTTTATTTGGGATCTTTCTCTTTTCTTAATGTGGGTGTTTATCACAGTAAACTTCCCTCTTAAGAACCACTTTTGCTGCATCCCAAGTTTTGGTATTTTATGTTTCCATTTTCTTTTGTTTCAAGATTTTTTTTATTTCCCTTTGGACATCTTCTTTGACCCATTGCTAGCTCGGAAGTGTGTTGTTTAGTTTCCACACATCTGTGAATTTTCCAGTTTTCCTCTTGTTATTGATTTCTAGTTTCATACCATTATGGTCTGAAAAGACACTTGGTAACTTCAATCTTCATATATTTGTTAAGGCTTGTTTTGTAGCTTAACATATGATGTATGCTAGAGAATGTTCTGTGTGTGCTTGAGAAGAATGTTATTGTGCTGTTGGATGGAATGGTCTGTGTATGCCTGTTAGGTCCAGTTGGTTATGAGAAGAATGGTATTCTGCTGTTGGGTGGAATGGTCTGTGTATGCCTGTCAGGACCAGTTGGTTAAGGGACAATTCAAGTGCAGTGTTTCCTTATTGATCTATCCATTGTGGAAAGTAGGGATAAAAGTCTCCTACTATTATGGTACTGTCATGCATTTCTCCCTTCAGTTTTCTTAGTATTCGCTTAATTTATTTAGGTCATCTGATGTTGGGTTCATACATACTCACAGTTGTTATATCCTTTTGATGAATTGACCCCTTTATCATTATAGAATGACCTCCTTTGTCTCTTGTTACAACTTTTGACTTGCTCTATTTTGTCTGTAATGCTACCACTGCTCTATTTGGTTCCATTTGTGTGGAATGTCTTTTTCCATCCCTTCACTTTGAGCCTAGGTGTGTCCTCAAAGCCACAGTGAGTCTCTTGTGGGCAACATACAGCTAGGTCTTGTTTTTGAATCCATTCAGCCACTCGATGCCTTTTGATTGGAGAATTTAGTCCATTTACATTTAAAGTAATTATTGATAGGAACTTATGGATGCTATCTTATTCACTGTTTTCTAGTCTTCTTGTTCCTTTCTTCTTCTTTGATTGTATTTCTTTGTGAATTGATTGTTTTCCATAGTGGTATGCTTTAATTCCCTTCTCCTTATCATTTCTGTATTTACTGTAGGTTTTTATTTTGTGGTTAATCTGAGGCTTCCATAAAACATATTATAGATATAACAGTCTATTTTAAGCTGAGCAGCTTAACTCAATCACACACAAAAACTCTACCATTTCACTCCCTCTTCATATTTTTTGTTTTGATATCACAATTTACCTTTTTATATTGTGAATCCATTCAAAAATTATTGTCCTTTAAAGCTTTATATCAGAGTTAAGTGATTAACATAACACCAACTTACAGTATTAGCATATGTTGAATTTGATTATATACTTACCTTTGCCAGCAACCTTTTATACCTTCACATTTCATGATACTAATTAGTGTCCTTTCATTGCACCTTGAAGAACTCCTTTCAGCATGACTTGTAAGGCGGGTCTAGCTGTGATGAACTATCTCAGATTTGTTTGTCTGGAACAGTTTTTATTTCTCTTTCATAACTGAAAAACAATTTTTCCAGAAAACATATCCTTGGTTCACAGTTTTTTTCTTTCAGGACTTTGACTACATCACCCCACTTAACCTGACCTGCAAGGCTTCTGCTCAGAAGTCTGCTGATAGCCTTGTGGGGGTTCTCTCAAATGAGAGAAATATTTTTCTCTTTCTGCTTTCTAGACTCTCTCTTTGTCCTTGATCTTAGACAGTTTTATTATAACGTGATATAGAGAGAATATATAGAAGGTGGTTGTGTCAAAATTTGGGAGTGACTCTTTAGTTTCATGAACTTGGATGTCCAAATTTTTCCCCAGATTTGAGAAGTTCAGGCATTATTTCCTTAAATAAGCTTTCTGCTCCTTTCTCCCTCTCTTCTCCTTCTAGGACTCCAATGATGCCTAGATTGTTTCTTTTCGAGAATGATTCACTACGTCTTTCTTCTGCTTGGCTGAGTCTACTGTTGAAGCACTCTGCTGAGTTCTTCCAGTTCAGTCATTGTATTTCTCAACTTTGGGATTTCTGTTTGGATTTTTTGAATGGTTTCTATTTTTTTTTGTTAAACTTCTCATTTTTTCATGCATTATTTTCCTAATTTCATTTAGTTGTCTATCTGTTTTCTTGTAGTTCACTGAATTTCTTTAAGACAATTATTCTGAAAACGTTGTACGGCTGCTGCATAGTAGACTTAGTAAATATTCATCATCTTGCTTTACCAGCCCTATTTGCAAAATCGTCCATACTTGGCCCTTTTTCCAAACTCTCAGCCACGTCAGAATTTTAAATGTCCTGCAGCAGTGAAGGAAGAACCTCTATGAGGAGGTGACATTTCAGTCGACCCTGAATGTTGAGGCCCAATCACAGAAGATCTGAGAGAACAGCATCCCAACAGAGGGAACAGCCATGCAAAGGCCCTGAGGAGAGGAAAGACTGGGTACAATGGGAGGTCAGGGTGGAGGCCAGGGTGACCAAGTGCAGGGAGGGGCGAGATGAGCTGGAGAGGAGGTTCTAGGGCTCTGCAGGGGCTCAGCAGTGCAGAGTCTCCTTGGCTGTGGAAGGAGATCAACGTCCCTTCATAGCAGGACGTCGCTTCCAGACGCTGATTGAGGTTGTTCTCATTCTCCTGCCTCCTTGCACTCCCAGGTGCCCCACGACCTCAGAAGCAGTTGCTCCTATAGGCGTGGCCCACACGGCGGGGGGAGCTGATACAGTGAGCACAAATACTAGAATCCTCGCCTTTGAGCTCCACACAGACTCTTCCAACTCATCACAGAAACCGCAGTCTTGAAAGACAACATGCTTTAAGAGCCAGGCTTTCTGAGAGGAACAGTAGTAATGGCCACACTTATTGAGTACTTACTGTGCACCAGGCACAGCTCTAAGTCTTTCATGTGGAGTCCTTGAGACAACCCTGAGGTAGGCACTGCTGTTGTCTGCATTATATAGTTGAGGAAACTGAGGCGCAGAGAGGGGAGTTGATGTCCCCAAGTCATACAGCAGAGCCTAGACTTGAGCCCAAGCAACCTTCCCCACAGCGCGAGATCTTGGGAGATGATTTTTGTTTCCAGTGGTCCAGCTTTGAATTTCAAGTCATGGGATGGCTCAAGCTGGGCCAGGGTGGCCTGTGATGGGAATGAAAGAGGAACCTGGGGGGAAAAGGGTGGACATGAGCCCTCCCCTGACACTGTGAGAGCACCAGGCACACGGTGGGGGCTCAGCCAGTATCTGCTGGCCAGGCTGCCTGGGCAGCAACAGGGGTCCCAGAGAGGGAAAGAGAAGGAGCTTCCTCAAGGCGGGACAGGGGGTCACCATTGGGCCCCACTGGGAGGGGCAGACACAGGAGTGGCGCTGTTAGCAAGAACAGAAAGGGACCTCAGAGACCTGGGGAGGCTGCCGGGGTACGGCCTGCAGGCCCTCCTCCCCTGTGTCCTAGGTTGGCTGCGGATCTCTGTCCTGAGAGGCACTTGCAGCCCGGAGGAATGAATCTGCCATGATGGGGTCTCCTCCCTGGCTCAGAGACTCAAATGTGCCCCTTACGTCCATCCACCACCCTGGCCCCCTCCTGCTCAGACACCTCCCACAGCTCCCTACTGCCCACAGGATGAAGTCCCTCGTTGGTTTCTAGAAGAACCCTCGAGCGGCGTGGGCCCCTGTGGTCAGCGGGAGAGGCAGTCAGGCTGTGGGACTCAGAAACACCAGCCCCGCCTCCACCCACCACATCCCCTCCCCATCCTCCGCAGCCACCACCGCCCCCTGCTGGCTCCCTATAGGCTGGGGCAGAGGTGACAGCACAGATTTATTCCTGGGAATCTGCACAGTGAGGTGTGGGGTCGGGGTGGATCCCGGGTCCGGAGGCCGCGGGTCACTGGGGGCCCGCGCTCAGAGGCTCCACCCGCAGCCACAGTCCGCCCTCTGCACGCAGGATCAGCTCCGGCTTCCGGCGCGGCTCCTCCCCGGCCGGCAGGACGCGGAAGCGCAGCAGCATGAGCGCCAGGACCACCTTCATCTCCGTCATGGCGCAAGTCTGCCCGATGCAGTTCCTGCGGCGGGAGTGGGGGCTCGAAGGCGCCCAGGACCTTCATCTCCGCACCATCGCGCCGGAACCTGTCCCGGGATCCCCATCCCTGCCCGCAAGCAGACAGATGCCTGGACCCCACGAGGGCTTGCACATCCCCTGAGCCTGGCCCAGACTGCAGCCCGAGCTCAGACCAGCAGACAGGGGGCAGGGGCTCCAAACACACCACGGACCCCAGGCCCCAGACCATTACCCATAACCTCTGGGGCAGGGGGGAAGGAGAGCTGGAACTCTGCCGATCTTCAGTTTTCCCCTTTTCCCGCCCTCACAGTCATGTTGGGATCTCAGTCCCAGACCCCTGCCCCCATCACCACATCCCCACCTCAGATGCCTTCCGTCCTCACCTGGGCCCTGCTGAGAAGGGAATAAAGGCAAGAGGTCACCTCTCCTTGATGTTTTCTGGGTCGAAGCAAAAGGGATCATAGACCTGTGAGCCACGCCAAGATAGGACTGCTGGGTGGGGTCTCCGAGGACCGCCAGCCTTGGAGAGTCAGACGTGTGTATGTTGGGGGGAGGTAATGTCTGATTTGCCAGGTCAGAACCCTGCACTCTCCCCTGGGTCCCCTTAGGCGAGCGGACAAGGATGAGGGTGGGGGGAGGCAGCACCTCAGGGTCTGGACACACGGATGGGTTGTGGTGGGTCCCGAAAATACTGATGATGCAGATAACACCTGTGGGAGAGGAGGGGCCAGTCAGGAAGAGGTCCCCGCATGCAGGACGGGCCCCTCTTTCTACCCAGGATGCTCCTGCCCTTGACGTTGAGGGCACCTTTGGGGATGACCCGGCCATCTGGGAGCACAATGTCCTGGGTGCAGCAGCGGGAAATGCCCATGGTGGGGGGATGCAACCGCAAACTCTCCTTGATGCACATGGTCAGGAAGGGCAACTGGGCCAGGTCGTCCCTAAGGAAAGCCTCCAACAGTTACCCAGGGAGCCAAAACAGAGACCCCCTCAGCCCTCTTCCTGCCCAGTTAGACCCTCTCTCCCTACAACAACAAAAAATTCCAGATGGATCACACATCTCCAAACTCATTAAGTTGTGTACATTAAATGTGTACAGCTTTTTGTATATTAATCATACCTCAATACAGTGGTTTGACAAAAAAAGAAAGAAAAGCAATATTACACAGTGCCAGACAGAGAAAATTTAGTCAGATATTTTTAAAAGCTTTTCTTAGCAAAACATAACACCCAAATGCCAACCATAAAAAGGTTGACAAATTGGCATAAAAAAATATATTCTCTATGGCAAGAGACCAAAATCAAAGGCAGATAAGTGAGAAAGAAGCAAAAGAAACAGATCCAATGTTTTCCTCTTATTTATCATCATACTAGAGATACGAGCTAATGCAATTAGACAAGGGGAAAAACGGATGTAATGCAGTTTGAAATGTGGGGGTAATGTGTCATTTTTGGCAGAGAGTGATTTTATGCTTAGAAAACAGAAGAGAATCCACTGGAAATCTTTTATAAACAATGAAAATCTGGTAAGGGGGCTGAATTCTATTTCTTTAACCCCTTTTTTGTTGGGTAGTGATTTGAATTTTTAATAGCTGATACAGTTAACTGCTTCTGCATTGGAAAACTACAACATACCGTCCCTATGGCCCACCAGCACTCATTACCCTCCTCACAGTTTGCTGAGGTTATTTTTTTATGTATCCTTCCAGAGTTATGATTTTTGCATCTTAAAAAATTACATAGGTTGTAAACTATCATAATCTCAATAAAAAGTTTAAAATAATTATATAGTAGCATACTATATATTATACACTGCTCTGTATCTTTTTCATTTAACAATATATCAATCTCTTCGTGTCTGTCTCCTGGGATTTGTGTCAAAAATACGGCCTTCCTGGGCCAGCCCTGGGGCATAGTGGTTAAGTCCAGCCTCCTCTACTTTGGCAGCCCTGGGACAGAGGCCAGGATCCCTGGCAGGGACCTACACTACTTGTCAAGCCATGCTGTGGCAGCATGCCACATACAAAATAGATGAAGACTGGCACAGAGGTTATCTCAGGGCTAATCTTCCTCAAGCAAAAACAGAGGAAGATTGGCAAGAGATGCTAGCTCAGAGAGAATCTCACTCATCAGAAATAAAAATAGGGCCTGCCCCACCCTGGAACTATAAAATAATTTTCCATGGTTTCCTCTAGAGCTTTTAGACTCTTTTATTGTTTATTTTTGATCTTTGATTCATCTGTATCTTATCTTGTTATGAGATGTGAGATGCAGGTTGAATTAACTGTTTTCCAGTTAGCTTCCCAGTTGTTCCAAGAGCTTTAATTAAATGATCTTGATTTTTCCTGCTGATACAAGACTCCCTCTTTGGCATTTACTCTGTTCAGTAGGCACAAAATTTATATGCATAAATGATTGGCTTTTCTATGTAGAAATAACAACCAGTTAGAAAAGATAATAAAAGAAAACATGATAATAATAATAATATAAAAGCTGGATTAAACTTAGTGAGAAAAGTGAAATCTGTATATTCCAAATGGACTTATAAACTTCTCTCGGTCCAAATAGAAGATATGATTCACTGTAGCAACAAAAGATTCTAAGGGTTAAATTAACAAAATATGCAAAAAATCTCTATGCAAAAATGTTAGACTCTATTAGGTGACTAAAGATATTTTGAATATCCAGAAATGGATATCCATTCCACACTCTGGGATAGTGTGTGTCAATATTGTGCAATAATCCATTTTACACAGGTCAATCATACATTCAACTCAACCAGTAGAATATATCCAATTCAAATGAAAATCCACCTGACCTTTTCAGAAACTTGGTAAACTTACTCTAAAAGTGGTAAAGGAAACCCACAGAACCCTAGGGTATGGATGAAGGGAATGTCTGCAAAAGAAAATTCTCACAAATTTGACTTTATCAAAATTATCCAAAAGTACCCAAACAGATGTAAGGTACAACACGGTGAGTTTAGTTAACAATACTGTATTATATATTTAAAGCTACTGAGAGAGTGATCTTAAAAGTTCTCATCACAAGAAAGGAAAGTTTGTAACTGTGTGTGGTGATGGATGTTAACCAAACTTACAGCGTCAAGGATAACCCTAGTCTTCTCTGTAATGTCTCATTTAGTGCAATAAGAACTTGTTCTCATCATCGTTTATCTCATTCAAAACTACTTTTCCAAAACTCATTTTTTGTAAAAAAAGTAGAGAGTTCAAAGTTACACTTTTAATGTGCAGACTGGAACCACTTTTGCCCACACTATCTTCTTGACAGAACCGCACACAACTACACCCAAATGTCTACTGATCAGCATTCAAGGTCTCAGCTGAGAACTCTCTCCACCCTCAGTCTTGCCTGTCCTGCTCTGAACCCAGGTCCTGCCCACATGGACAGGGAGTGTCCTGACCTGAGACGATCCCCCACCAGGCTGGGAGCTCGTGGAAGGCACAGGCCGGGTCTGGGTGCTTCCCGGGTCTCCAGGACACAGGATAGGGCTGGGAAGAGTTGGGGACGGCACAGAATTGGGGATGGGCAGGCAGTGTGGCAGTGTTTTCTGAATGGGGACTGGATGGATGAAGGTAGAGGTGTTCATGGACAAGAGTTGAGTGACTTCAATCCCCAGGTGTCCCCTGTGAACCCTGGACTGAACAATATGGTAGGAGTTAGGAGCCCAGCAAACATCCAGGCGGTGAAGATGTTTGAAAGAATGTGATTTCAGAGAGAAAAGTAAGGGAGCAGAAGGGAGGTTCACTCTCTGAACATGTCCTGAGGGGCATGATCTGCCCTCACACATTGCACTAATTCTCTCAGCCGCCCAGATCTTCTACCCAGAAGGCTGAAACCTTTCCCCTGTGATCCCGGCTGGGAACCTGACCCTGCCTCTGGGCTCTGCTCCTATTCCCACTAAGCAAAAATGACAGAATCAATGAAGAGAACTTCCCACTCCCAGCTGGGGAGCAGAGGCAAGGAGAGGGTTTCAGGAACAGACCATGTGCACCTGCACTCACCACTCAATCTCTTCAGGCTCGCGTTCCCTCAGGAGCTCTCGTACCTCCTGCCGGCAGCGCTCCTGGTGCTCTGGGTGCCTCGCGAGGTTGCACAGGACCCAGGAGAGGCCGCTGGCTGTGGTGTCATGTCCTGAGAGGCAGCCAGACAGCTTTGGGTCTCTGGGAGGCTTCAGCACCAGAAGGTGCACCATGCACTGACATTAAGGTCCCAGGGAGAGTGGGGAGGATGGGGGGGGGGGCGATGAGGTTGTCCAGAGACCACCAGCCAAGTCCCTGGAATAGAGATGCCCCTGCCCCTTCTGTAGCCTCACCCCCAAACATAAAGGTGTCAGCTTCAGCTTGGATGTCCTCATCTGACAGTTCCTTCCCATCTTCATCCTGGAGAGAAAGCAAGACCCCCAAAATCACCAGTTCCTAGGGGCCCTGAGGCAATCTCTGAGCTCCATCATCCGCCCAGGAACCCAAGCCAACCCTGCACTCCTGGACCTCCCTTGGTCCCTATCCCCAGAGGCCCCACCCCACAGGCCTCCTCCTTGGCATCCTCGCCTCCTCCCTTGTCCCTGGTGGGAGGAATCAATGATCCATGAATATTTCCATGGTTCTACATGATGAGGGCTTTCTGAGAAAAATATATTGGCAACCTGGGCTGCAGGATGATTGACTGGCAACTTGCCTTGGAAGTTAGAGATTGAGCATCGCTCCAGAGCCATTTGCTCACATTCTTGGATGGTAGATCCAGAGATTCCTTATCTCCCCTGGAGATAACCCTACAGAACCTACAGACTTTGCCTTCTCACTGAAGATCTGCTTATATTCCAGAACATCCTTCCTCTCCTCCTCTCCTTGTCTCTCTCACCATAAGGAAGAAAGGACAGATGAGTCAGCCCTCGTAAGTTCCAAGATACATACTGTGGGGACACCTCTCTCGTGATGCAAGCATGGTGGCACGCACAGGCAAAAGCATCATGTCACTCTCTTGGAACTTGGGAATGGGGAACCAGAGCCACACTTCTGCTCTGGCTACTGTTACTGCTGTGAGCAATAAGTGGGCTGCTCTGATCCAGGCTTCTGAGGTATATATAGCTGTAGTCTAATGTATCTATATTAGACTTAATAAGTTAGTCATCTATATATCTGTATATGACTAACTTATTAAGTAAAGTCCCAGGCCCTGCCCAGCATCAGTTTCAGACTTAGCAGTCCCCCGGAGCCTGCATTCAACATAGTCATCTCTAAAACATACCCTGACCCATCCCTCCCTTCCTCAAGCACCTTCCATGGCTCCCCAGTTCCGTCTGGATCAAGTCCAAGTTCTCCTATCTGACATTTGAAATCAAGGTGCATCATCCCTCTTGAATTCAGGTCCCAGAGAAGCCCACCTTGGCCAACAGGAGCACATCAATGAAGTCCAAAGTCTTGACCTTAGCTTTGGCCTTGAGGAGGCCATCAAGACCCTGATCGGGAAGGGTGCGGCGCCGCTCCTGGATGATGGCATCTGTGAAGTCGTGCACCAGGCGGCAGATCCTACGGAAGCACCGTCCGTCAGTGGTGAGGTGGTACAGGGAGTCCATGTGCAGGATGATTTGCTGGTGCTGCTTTGTCACAAGGGCACTGAGCTCCAAGACAGCAGAAATGTATTCACTAGGCTTCCTGCAGGATGCACGCATGAAGGGAGGCAACAACTTAGCTCACCTGAAGCCCAGGAAGCACCTCCCACCAGAAGCCAGGCCCTACTTCCAATGGGGAAACAGAGTCTCCAGGAAAAGATGGCCCCACAGATGGATGGTGGGGATGATGCAGGAGACATGACTCTCCAGTCTTTCTTCTCTCCCTGCTTCCTATCCTGTCTCTGTGAGCTGCCTCCATGCGCCAGGTGCCCAGGGCACAGCTGAGACATCACGCTTCTCTCCCCTCTATCCTACCAGTATCTGCCCCTTCTCCTTCCGAAACTGTCCACACAGCTCAGACTTTGTCCTCTCCCAACTGACAATGGACCTAGCCCCTCCTGAGTCTCCATGCATCCATTGTCAACACCACACGTGTCTACATGACAGTCAGTCTTCTCTAGAGTCAGATGTCCAAGCTCAGCTTTGACCACAACCATCATCTGCTCAAAGACCTTCCACGGCTCCCTGGAAATCTCAGGGTCAAGGTCATAGCCCTTTGCCTGGGTTTTGAATGTCATTAAGATCTACCCCCACCTACACCTCCAACCTCACTTCCCAGGTGTCTCCTCATTGCTGCACACGCTCTGCTCATCCTAGCCTCCTGTCCTCTATCAAACATTTCTACCTACCTGAAAAGATTTCTCTCTCTCTTTCCCCTTCCCTGCACTTTGGTGTCCAGCTCAGACCCTTCTCCTCCAGGAAGACCCTTCTGATTGTCGTGGTAAGTCCTCCCTCTGTCTATTCCCTTGCATCTATGGCCCTTGTTCCAAGCCCCTGGGCAAGGACTCACTCCTGGCAGTTGCTGTCAAAACTGAAGACACATTTCTGCAGACTGTCAAGGGTCATGAGGCTGATGTGCTCAAACATGTCCAGATAGGCACTGCCCTCCGAGGTCAGGCGCTTCCACTTGGCCTGGACAGAGAAGTGGCTGAGCCGGGGCTGGGATGGGCCTCCCCTGAGCCCGGCCCCAACCCAACACCAGGATGGGGCACCCCAGACCCAGCCTCTTGGCCCCAGGCACCTGTCCTATGGAGGAACAGGCATGAGCGGAAGTGGACACTGTTACTGTGAGGACATGAAGACCCCACGGCTGGGAGTCAGGCGACCTCCATTCTAGTCCTGGCTCCACCTGCTACACTCTGTGTGCCCTTGGCCAGCTCATGGCCCACCTCTGGGCTCCACTTGTCAAATCCTCAGTGACAGGTCGGATGACCTGCTTCTGTTTCAGACAAACCAGGTTGGAATCCCAGCTCCACTTGTTAGCTCACTTGCCGTGTGAACTTGAGCAACACCCTAACCTCTCTCAGCCTCAGTTTCACCATCTGTAATGGGGAAAAAGGATATCCACCTCATAGGGACGTGAAAATTAAATTAGACAATACACGTCATGGAATTGCCATGTAACTTCTGGCATATAGAAAGTGCTCAATAAATGCCAGCTTTCATCATCCTATTGTTATAAATTGGCTAGGATACTCTCCCCTATGCTTGTAGCGGTAGTCCTCCATGGGCCATGAGCACCCTGCACATTCTTGCTGGGTATGCCAAAAACACAAGGCCCTGATGTTCTTTACCTGGGCCATTTCTCAGAGTTGTGTTTGCAGCAAACAACATTGAGGGAAGAGGAAATGTCTCCTCCTGGGCACATATCAGGCTTGCTTCCAATTGCTATGAAACTCACACAGCTCCTAAACCTAGTGCTCCTCCTGTGCATTGCAACATACTGCATGAGCAGGCATCCGTGGAAGCCCACCTGTTTCATCCTCATGGGATTTGGTGACTTGGAGAAAGAATGCAAACCAACAATGGGCACATGCCGCTTGCCGAGCCATCAGTAATAAACTGTCCTTTGTCTCTGGTTCAGGAGTCTCATGTCTTCTGGCAGGATCCACAAAACAGTAATGAGCTTACTTGTCAGCTTGCAAGTGTGGAAAAGTCCCAGGCACTTCACAAAACCCCCACCTCCAATGCTTCACCTCCCTACATCCACCCTTTGCAACGAGTCTGTGAGCTTCCATGAGCAGGAGGAGCCCATTTCATCACCCTTTCATTCTGGGCTGGCCTTTGGACTTGCTTTGGCCAATGTGGTAAAAATGATGAGTGATCATCCTAAACCTTGAGTTCAAGAGGCATTGCAGCTTCCTCTCAGCCTCTTGGAACCTGGCCTGTGCTATGTGAACAGCCTGAAATGACTTCTGGAGGGAGGGAACCACATGAGAGGATTGTCCCAGCTGAGAGCATCCTAGACCAGCCTGCAGCCAACCAAGCCCCAAACACATGAGAGGACTGAGCCCAGAACAGCAAAGTACCTGACCCACAGCTGGTCACAGATACATGAGTGACCCCATCCACGTCCAGAAGAAGCAGCTCACTGACTTGTAGACTTGTTAGCAATAATAAAACCTTATATATTGAAAAGTGGTTTGTTACTCCATATTCAGTATTCAACATGCAATATTCATCACTATCATCAACAGTGTCTCAGGATTCCAAGGCTTCTGAGAGGGAAACATAGAAACTAGCACATGAGCACCTACTGTGTGCCAGGGACATGAGTCCATTACATCATCTTGATCACCCTGTAAAGTGAGGCTCATTATCCCCAGTTTACAGCTGAGGAAACCGAGGTTCAGAAAGGAGAAGCAATCGCCCCAAAGCTACCCAGAAGAACCAGAATTCCAGACAAGATGTCTCTGAGCCCCCATTGCTCCCAAGGCTCCAGGTAGGACCTTGGGTTCAAGAGACTCACATGCATGATGTTCACACTGTCATTGAAAATCCTCACGTAGGACTTCAGGATGTTGAAGTGGAAGGCGGGTGTCAGCATGCGGCGGTGCCTGCTCCACTTGTCACCGCCACTCAGCAGGAGCCCATCCCCTGGTAGGGGCAGCCACAGAGAGTGAGCAAGGGAGGGCCTTCCACTGGCCCCCAAGGTTGTCCCCAATCCCCTCACACGCAGTTACTCACCCAGCCAGGGCTTCAGGAATCTGGAGAGGATCATGTCCTTGGGTGCAATGGCAGCTGACGAGAGATAAGCCATCAGGGGCCATGGAGAGGGGGAGGGGAGGGACTTTTGAGGCAAGGTGGAGCCTCAGCCAGGGGTCTGCACTCCCCCTCCAGGAGCAGCATAGCAGAAGTGGGGCAAGGGCAGACAAAGCTGGGACGAGCGGCGAGGCAAAGGGGGCCAAGACCAGGCAGAAGCACACAGTCGAGCAAAGGCAGAGCCCACAGACACACCCCTACGTGCTTAGATGCACCCCAACATGGCACAACATGCCCCAGTATGGCTCAGAATGGCTCCTACAGGGTCCAACATGTTCTAAACACCCGAGCACAGCCCAGCACTCTACAAAACGCCTTCACAGGGAACTAGGACACTGTGTCTGCCCAACACTCTCTCAGATCTCCTGGGACATCTGACATGACCCCACCATGCATTAACATGTCCTGACATGAAACAACATGCATGACACACCCTCACATCACACAACATGCTCTGACATGGACCTGAAGATAACCTCAGTGTATCTCACAGATAGGACTGAAATGCAGTCCCATTAATGTTACAGAGGTGGACCAGACATGACCCAGAAATATGCTAAGACCTGCCTCAGACAAGACTCACATAAGGTCTCAGGCATTTCTCAGAAGGACCCAGGTCTCAGAGATCAGACAAACCCCAAATGTGGCCCAGACATGACCAGCAGGAGAACCAGACAATCTCGGGTGGCATCAGACAAGACCCAGACAGACTCCACTATGCCTCGAATGTCCTTGGCTACAGCCAAGCCCAAGATGTGACTCAGACCATCACCATGTGATCTGAGGAGTAAACATATACCCACTGTAACCAAGTGTAACATATACCAGCCATAACAAAGTGTAACATACACCAGGTGTAACCAAGGGTAGCATAGATCAGCTGTGACCAAGTGTAACACATACCAGGTGTAACCAAGTGTGACATACACCAGCTGTAACTGTGTAACCAAGTGTAACATATACCAGGTGTAACCAAGGGTAACATAGACCAGCTGTAACCAAGTGTAACACATACCTGGTGTAACCAAGTGTAACATACACCAGCTGTAACCAAGCATAACATATACCATCTGTAACTGTGTAACCAAGTGTAACATATACAAGCCGTAACAAAGTGTAACACGCACCAGTCGTAACAAAGTTTAAGGTGCACCAGCCGTAACCAAATGCAACATGCACCAGCCATAACCAAGTGTAACATGCACCAGCCATAACCAAGTGTAACATGCACCAGCCGTAACCAAGTATAACATATACCAGCCGTAACCAAGTGTAACACGCACCAGCCATAATCAAGTGTAACACGCACCAGCCGTAACCAAGTGTAACATGCACCAGCTGTAATAAGTGTAACATATACCAGCTGTAACTAGGACCCAGGTGGAAACTCAAATGTGACCAGGCATGGCCATACAGCAGACATCACACAGACACAGCCTCAGCGTGAGCAGACACAACCAGGTGTCAGGCAAGTGGGGATCCAGGTAAGACAGAGGCAGTGTCATCTCCACCACAGCCTCTCCTGTCTGCGCCGGGTCACCTGCCCAGCTGGGGGCGGCACAGAGACCTCAGCAGCAGGCAAGCTGTGGTCAGCAGGGTGTCTACTGGAAACAAAGAGCACTGGCTTGATGCAGGTGGGGTGAGAGATGCTGATGTCCGCATGCCAGGGCCCCACCCACCAGCAGCACACGTCCCCATAAGTCCTCACCAGGCCCTGTGTACAGGAGACCTTCCTCCGAGCTCCGAATCTGGAGAGGAACAAAGAGGAACAGAACTACTCTTCCAGGTGGCCAGAGGGAAGGACCTGCAGGGCAGACCCAGACCTGAGCCCCGCGAATCCCACCCAGCAGCTCATCCTGCTCTGGGGGTCCCTCCCTACACCTTCCATACACGACAACTGAGGTCCCTCAGTTACAGGGACAGAAAGGGTCCTTCCCCATTTGAATCCCGAATCCGTGTTCACCTGAATTCTCTCCTATCCCCATTTTCCAGATAAGGAGACTGAGGCTCTGAACGATATGAAGTCACTTGCCCACAGCCTTCCAGGTCGTAAGTGGTGTGCCTGAGACCTGAGCCCAGGTCTGTCTGAATCCAGGGCCTGAGTTCTTACCCATCGAACTGCCTTGAACCCCAGAACAATAGCTCTGAGAACCCTATGCCTGCCGATCCAGGCAATCGGAGTCACAGTGACTGCATGAGGAACTGGTCCTGTGACCTAAGCAGGCAAACTAAAGTGAGTCCTGCAGCTCTTCCTGGAACTGTTGGGAATAAGCTTGTGTTTCCATGGGAGCTGCGTTTCTGGGATTCATCTTGACCAGCATGAGAGTGAAGCCAGCACAGAGGGACACAGAACTAACAGACGAAGACCGACTCCTGATGACACTGTCTGAGACCTGGATCCAGCCATGCCTGAAGACAAGATCCCTGGCCTGAACAGTCAGTAAATTCCCTTTCTTTACTTAGACCATACAGGGTAGACGTTCCACCACTCACAGCTGAAAGAGACCCTGGCAGCCAGAGAGCTGGGGACCTGCCCAGAGTCACCCAGTATTTCAGTGTTGGAGCCAAGGTCCCTGTTGGCTGCTGCCTGTTCCCCTGTTCAGCCTGGTCCATCTGGAAGCGAGAAAGGCGGAGGGCAGCAGAAGGGAGCCTGGCTGGGGTGGGGTCTGCTTGGGGTGATTCCTGGGGCCTAGAGCAGGAGGGAGTTGAGCTTTAAGAGGACAAGCCACAGGAGAGGGTAGAAGGAATCAACCCATCAAAGGCGGACGCCATGAAAATAGCAGCCCAGATCCTGCACCAGCCTCAAGCCCTCAAGCTCTGGCCTGGGGGTGGGCGGGGCCGAGGCCAGGACTGGCAGGGGGCCTCAGATGCTATCTTGCCCACTGCACCCCTCTGCCCTCTGCTTTAGAAAATTTCTGCTCATTGTTTCAGACCCAGTTCCAGAAACCCCTCCTCCAGGAAACCTTCCAGCCTGGCCCAGCAGAGACCTTGCTTCTCCTCTGGGTTGCCTCACTCCTCTCCTTCCAGCCCATTCCTCACCACTCGAGGTCGGGGATCTCTCTGCCTAGATCTGTCTTCTACAAGTGGGGATTCCCCTAGAACAAGGCCTTGGATTCAGGCCTCTTGGGGCCCCAGGGGTGCCCAGGACAGCAGGACAGGGGGCAACCAGCAGTGGAGGGAGGATTGGTGAGATGGGGGTTGGTGAAAACAGGAAGGAAAGAGGAAGACAACTGAGAGGAGAGGGGCAGAGGGCCGGGGTCCTGGAGGGGCCACACAGAAGCTTGCAGGGAGCAGCTAGAAGCCCTCGGATGCACCACGGCGCCACCACCACAAGCTCTGCATGGGTACCTGAGGCACTGAGGACAGTCCGGACCATGTCGGGGTGGCAGAGAGTGACAAGGGGCATGACGGGGCCCATCCAGTTCACAAATCCCTGAGGGTAGTTGGCCACCAGCTGAGTAACGACTCCCATGCCTTGCTCAGTGGAGGTGACCTGCAAGCAAGGAGGGGCCGTCACTCCCCAGAAGCAGCCACTGCCTGTCCCCCTGCCGCCTCTGCTGTGTCCAGATTCTGCAGGGATGGAGGAATCCCTGCTTCTTCCTGCTCCTTTCCTCTTAGGGCAGGAGGGTTCCTGAGGCCTCTCCAAGTCCCAAGGGTGCAACCAGGGCACAGGGAGAAGACACGCTCTGCACACAGAGGCCGACCTTGCCTCCAGAAGATGGATTTCCCTCATCCTGGGAGAGGTTGCAGCCCCGGGGCGGCCACAGCGGGAGGTGATTACGGGGGAGGTTTGTGGGCAGGAGAGTGAACTCAGGACTAGACCCAGGGGCTCATTCTCACATCCTTTTCAAGTCCTGACATGCCTAGGGGGTCTCTGGTTGCCCCAGTGGTGATGGGTTTGCAGACAAAGGATGTACCAGGCCAGGCAGACCCCAGGGAACACACTTGAGACCTGCCCATCAATCAGAGGGCATCTCCCACCCCTTCTGATGGCCAGGCTCTGTGCATACAGCTTCGCGCCTGTCTCTCTGTCTCTCACAGAGCGTCCTGTCTCTCCATCTCTCACAGTGCATCCTGTCTGTCTCTCTATCTCTCACAGTAGGTCCTGTCTGTCTCTCTGTCTCTCACAGTGGGTCCTGTCTGTCTCTGTTTCTCACCTTGCCTCCTGACTGTCTCTTTTCAACAGTAGACACACACATAAATAGTGCTCTTTACAAGTGAAAAAACTGAGACTATATCCTCTAAAATGCGAACTAGTGGAGGGTTGGCTCCTGGTAAATTGTCCTCTCCAGTCCTTCAGGATTCCCAAGCCTGACAAATACCCCCGGTGCTCCAGGCAGTTGAACTTTTCACCTGTGACCCCTCCCTGCTCCCAAGGATGCTGAGACAAAGACTCAAAGCATTTCAACAAATTGACCCAGAGAGGAATAGTCACTCAGCCAAGGTAACATAGAGAGAGGGGCTGGAGGTGGGAAGAGTGTCCATGATGAGCCCTCACAGCTTAGCCCTCAGAGCAGGAGGCAGACTTGCAGGGACCACGGCATTCCCACTGCCCCCAGGGCCCAGAGAACATCCCAAGACCCAGAATCCCAGGAATGCCTCACGATGAGCTTTGGAACATCCCCGTTCTGAACTTTGTCACGAGAACAGTGAAATCACAGGAAGTGCTCCACTGAGCTGCAGCTCTCGCCCCGGGAGGGAAGGAAAGCTGTGCTCATCCCTCAGCTGGTCCAGAGGACAGGAGGAGTAGGCGGTCAGCTCTGTGGCCGTGACAGAGAGGGGCGAAGGCATGTTCTCCACTCACGTCGTCAATGCTTGTTGTGAGCGCCCCCTGTCCTCTCACCCTTGGGCTGGCCCTGCCATGTCTGCTCCCAGAGCTGCCATCAAGGTGGAGAGATAGATAATAAGTACTTGGACAATTAACGTTTAATTAAGCATGAGCAGGGCCAAGTAAACATCAAGGCCTGGGTGTGGGCAGACAGTGGAACAGGCCTCTGAAAGGGGAAGTGAGTGGCCTAGTTCCTCCAGGTTGGACAACGGGGCCCAATGGGACACCTTGGGGGGAAGAGTCAGATGAGAGGAAGGGGTCCCAGGAAGGGGTGGGGAGCTGTGCCCAGTGGGTGGGGGTGGGGAGGCCATAGCTAATTTCTGTGGGGAAACTGCAGCCCAGCGTTAGCAGACTCAAGGAAACGGGCCAGGCAGAGCGGACCCTGAACAGTGCCCCAAAGGCCATCTCAAGCTCACTGGTGGAGACTGGGGATGACAGGGGGTCTAGCTCTGTGCAGCCCGCCCTGGGAGCCCCTCAGAGCTGCATTGATGGATCCAGAGCAGGTTTGGGGTGGGGCACAAGGACATGGGAAAGGCGTGTGATGGCAGAGCAGAGGAACGAGTGAGGGAGCAAGGAGGGGTCACCTGATCCTCGCTCTCACTTCCACTCTCCTAGATCCCAGCCCAACCCCAACCCCCATTCCCAACCCCTCAGGAAGTCCACACACCCTGATGCCCCAGACCCCTCCTGCTGCCACACTCACCAGGCCCAGGTGACCCCAAAACCAGTTCTGTTTGGGGGGCTGCGGGAAACATTGGAGGTGACGAAGGTTGTCATAGAAGGTGTAGGTCCAGGCCCGGATGCGGGCCAGGAGCCAGGAGGCCCCGACCAGCAGCAGGAGCAGCCACGGGGAGGCTGCCACAGGCCCGAGCCCCAGCCAGGACAGGCTCAGCTGTGGCATCCTGCCGTGCACACAGGGTGGAGGGCGAGCTCCTGGGGCCCAGGAAAAGTGAGTATTGGTGAGCTCGAGGCAGAGACAGACAGCTCATAAAGAGGGCGAGGACCAAGGGTGTGAGGGAGGGGCAGGAATGGTGTGGGCTGGGGCCAGGGCAGGGAGGGCTCAGAGAAGGGCTCAGAGAGGGGAGGGGGTCCATGGAAATCCAGAGGGAGAGAGAGAGACAAACAGAAAGACAGACAGACAGAGACACAGAGACTGACAGAGGAGAAGAGATAAAGAGGAAGAGAGACAAAGGAGGAAAGGCCCAAAGGGAATCAGTGGGAGGCCGCCAGAGCCTCCAGTTACAGGAAGTCCAGGGCTGCTTGCTCTGGACTGTCATGGGCAGTGCCCTCCCCACTCCAAGCCAGTACCTCCTTCCCTGGACCCCAGCCCGCACCTCCTGTCTGCAGCTGCACACAGCCTTCTCTCCCCTGTTCCTGGGAAGTCTCAGCCCCTGGGCCCTGACCTTGGGAGGCTGGCAGGGCCAGGCTGGGCTAGCCTATCTCCACCTGTCTGCTTACCTCCTCCCCACCTGGCAGGAGGCCCAGAGGGAGGTGGGGGAAGGGAGCCAGTGTTGGCAAGAGAGGCTTATGAACCAGCTCAGGGTCACACAGTGTGGATGCTGGATCCTCAGAACTGAGCACCTTCATTGTGGGGTGGAGTGGGCAACTTGCGGGGCGGGCAAAGGTGACTCTGGGCCCCAAGTTTACAGCTGCCCCTGGCCTTCCCAGTCCAGGGTGTGGGAGGTAAAAGGTTGCAATTGAGAGTTCAGGTGCCAGGTGAGCAAGGCCAGGCCAAGCCTTGTCCCCACACATCTCCTGGGCTCTTGTCCACGTGAGGGGCCAGGTGGGTGTCATGCACCGTTTCTTGGAGCAGAATCGGGAAGCTCAGAGACAGGGAGGCTCTGGTCCCAGGACAGCACAGCCTGGCAGGAGTTCAAGACCTTCCTCCAGGCAGCCCAGGGCCTGGGCTGAGACGTGAGTGCTGGGAGCAGGAACAAAGACACCAGCCTCGTGGGGATCACTCACACCAGACTCTGGGGTAAGGAGTCCCATCAGGCGAGGTCACATGGAGGAGTGTGAGGTGAGGCTGCAGGGGGCCATGAAAGCACTGGGTGCAGACAGCAGAGGGCAGAGCTGAGAGAGCCTGGGTGGAGTCCTGCTCATCCTCACTCTGACCGTGGGCTGTGCTGGCCCTCTCTGGGCTCAGGGTTCCATCTGCAAAATGGGATGTCAGATGAGTGCCTGAGGGAGGCAGAGGAGGGTTCCACAGGAAGGTGAGAAGGATCAGGGGCCCCAAAAAGACAGAATGAAGGGAAAGGGCCAGTAACTAGTCTTGTGCTGCTGTGTGCCAATACTCCACATAAAGTAGACCTACTCTGTGCAGAGGACAGTATGTAAAGGATGCCTACCATGTGCTGGGTACCTCAAAAAGCATCCCTACAGCCAGTCAGGAGCTCTACATAAGGCATGCCTACTGTGTGGCAGGTATACTATATAAAGTGCATGTACTGTGTGCCAAGTACTCTCCAAAAAGTGTGTCTACTGTGTGCCAAGTGTGCTACATAAATCCTGCCAACTGTATTCCAGGTGTTCAACATAAAGCATCCCCACTGGGTGTTGCATGCTCTCTGTAAAGTATGCCTATTATCTGTGTTAGGTACTCTAAAGAAAGTAAACCTACTCTGTTCAAATTATGTAAAGCATGCCTACTGTGTGTCAAGTACTCTTCAAAAGTGTACCAACTATGTGCCAAGTACTGTACATAAATCCTGTCTACTGCATGCCAGGTGTTCTACATATAGCATGCCTATTGAGGACCAGGTATACTACATTGTGTGCCTACTGTGTGCAGGGTACTATATGTGAAATGCTCCTCCTGTGTTTCAGGTGATCTACATAAGGTAAACCTACTGTGTGCCAGATGTCCTGCCAGCAGGATAAAGCATCACCCTCCCCTCAATCTCTGGGCCAGCCCCCTGGGATCAGGCAGAGAGACCCAGGCGATGCATCTGCAGGAGTGAAGATGCCTATTTAACTGAAGAGTGAATGGAGGCACAGAGGGGGCAAGCCTCAAGCCCAAGTTGCATGGCTGGTCATGCCCCCAAGTCCAAACCTTTCCCTCTTCCGTGCTGCTCCACTCCCACTCATAAGGAACAATGCCCTATTAACCCAGGGACATTGTGATGGTGGAATCTCAGGCAATGTGGTGACCCCAGAGGGGATATCTTGAGGACCTTGTGTCACCCCGCGGATCACCCTCCCACATCCAGGAGGCACCACCCAAAGGATCTAGTTCTCCCCTCTTGGGCCTGCCCGATCCTGTCCAGTATGGCCCTGTGGGATGGTCTCAGGTGAGGAGCTTGAAGGATGGGGCTCCTGGCATAGCTACTGAGCAGGAGAGTGGGGGAAAGACAGTCTTCCTGACACTGGTGGCATGTTGGGGAGACCCCAAACCTCCTTCTTCCCCTCCCACTGGCTGGGGTATTCAGGTCCTAGAGCCCTCAGTGCAGTGGGGTGTGCCATCGCCCCCAGAATATCCTCCCCCTCACTGGGGCAGACCACTTGCTGGCAGGTCCATCCATGTCAGGATCAGGGGGACAAGGTCAGACGATGATAAACCAGGCAGAGTCCTGGGACACACAGCAGAAAGAGCCCCCAGTGCCCAGACGTCTTCAGCTCACTGTGGACCTACTGTGTGCCAGGAATATGCAGGCAGCCTAGAGCAGGAATGGTGGCCACCACCAGCATTCTAGTAGAGGCAGTGGAAGGTGGAAAGTGCAGACTCTGAAATACAACCAGAACAGCTTAGATCCAAAGCAACCACAGCCATGCCCAAATAAGAAAGATGGTTACTAGGACAAATGCACAGGCAGAGGACCTATTCATCAACACCATGAAGAAACTACAGTAAAACTGCAGAAAGAAGAACAACAGTTCCTAAAAAAATAAAATTGAAGTCAAAGACGATTATAATCTACCTCAAGAGAATTCAAAATAGCTGTCATAAAGAAACTCGATGAGTTACAAGAAAAGTCAGATAGACACTTCAATGAGCTCAGGAATAAAATTAGTGAACAGAAGGAACACTTCAACAAAGAGTTTGAAACTCTAAAAAGAAGCCAAACAGAAATTCTGGATATGAAGAAGACAATTATGAGGAATAAAATGATGTAGAAGGCATAAACAATGATGCAGACATTATGGAGGAGAGAACCAGTGAGCTAGAGGATGGAAACCTACAAATGATCCAAGTGGAAAGGGAGAGAGAACTAAGACTTTTAAAAAAGGAAGAAATTCTTTGTGAAATACCAACCCAATTAGGAAACATGACATAAGGATTATAGGCATCCTAGAGGAAGATGAGAAGGAGAAAGGAGCAGAGAATGTATTCAAGAAAATAAAAGCTGAGAACTTCCCACACCTGGGGTGAAATTACAAGTACACAAAGCCAATAGAACTCCTAATTAAATCAATGCAAATAGGCCTTCTCCAAGGCATTTAATATTAAAACTGCCAAAAGTCAATGACAAAGAAAAAATATTGAGGGCAGCAAGAGAGAAGAAAATAACCTACCAAGGAACACCTATCAGGCTCTCAGTAGATTTCTCAGCAGAAACCTTGAAGGTGAGAAGACAGTGGAATGATATATTCAAAATACTGAAAGACGGAAACTATCAGCGAAGAATAATCTATCCAGTGAAATTATCCTCCAAATATGACAGAGAAATAAAATCTTTCACAGATAAACAAAAGCTGAGGGAGTTAATTGCCATTAGTCCTGCTTTAAAAGAAATGATGAAGGATGCCCTCCCACCTGAAACAGAAAGGCAAATGTTTACAAAGCATTGAGCAAGGAGATGAATAGACACAAAAAATCAGAAAAGTGCAGCTGTATGTCAGAATAGGTTAGCAAAGATTTAATTATAAAATAAAGGATAAAGGGAAAGAAAGCATCAAAAATAAATATAGCCACCTCAATTTGGTCACAAAGCATCAACAGAAAAAGAATGATTTGTGACAACAAAAACAAAGAAGGTGAAGAGGAATGTAAAGGAACCAGCTAGGCTGATGGAGATAAGAAGCTGTCAGAAAATGGACTATCCCATCTATGAGATCTGTATACGATCTTCATGGTAACCAGAAAGCAAAAAATCAGAGCAGAGTCACAAATCATAAGTAAAGAGGAAACTGAGAAAAACATCACAAAAAAACACAAAACTGAAATGGCTGACAGAAATACAAGGGAAAACAAACAGTGGAAATATAGAACAACCAGAAAATAAACGATAAAATAGCAGTATTAAGCCTGCACAAATCAATAATCATTCTAAATATAAACAGGTTGAATGCGCCAATCAAACGACACAGAGGAGTAGATGGACTGAAAAACAAGAACCAACAACATGCTGCATCCGGGAAACACATCTCAGCTCTAAAGACAAACACAGGCTCAAAGTGAAGAGATGGAAGATGCTACTCAGGGCAAACGGCAAGCAAAAGAAAGCAAGTGTTGCCACATTTACATCAGACAAAGCAAACTTTAAGATAAAAAAGATGACAAGAGACAAAGTTGAGCATTATATAATTATAAAAGGGACATTCCACAAAGAAGACATAACACTTATTAATATATATGTACCTAACACGGGAGCACCAAAGTATAAAGCAAATATTAGCAGACCTAAAGGGAGAAGTTGACAGCAACACAATAGTAGTAGGGGATCCTAAGACCCCACTTATGTCAATGGATAGATCATCCAGACAGAAAGTCAACAAGGAAACAGTGGCCTTAAATGAAACACTAGACCAGAAAGACTTAATAGATACACATATAAAACATTCCATCCAAAAAGAGCAGAAAACACATTCTTCTCAAGTGCACATGGAACATTCTCAAAGATAGACCATATGTTGGGAAACAAGCCAAGCCTCAATAAATTTAAGAAGATTGAAATCATATAAAGCATCTTTTTCAACCACAATGCTATGAAAGTAGAAATCAATGACAAGAAAAAAGCTGAAAAAGTCACAAATAAGTGGAGACTAAGCAACGTGCTACTTAACAACTGTTGGATCTATGAAGATGAAAACACAGCATGCCAAAACTTAAGAGATGCAGCAAAAGTGCTACGAAGTGGGAAGTTTATACCAATACAGGCCTCCATCAAGAAACAAGAAACATCGCAAATAAAAAAATCTTACACCGTACCTAAAAGAACTAGAAAAAGAAGAACAAATGAAGCCCAAAGTCAGTAGAAGGAAGGAAATAATAAAAATATGAGCAGAAATTAATGAAATACAGACCAAAAATACAGTAGAAAGGATCAATGAAACTAAGAGCTGGTTCTTCGAGACGATACACAAAATTGACAAACCTTTAGCAAGACTCCCTAAGAAACAAAGAGAAAAGACTCAAATAAAT